GGCGGGGCGATGTGGAAGGGGCGGCGAGGGTATGGTGGAGGTCGGGGTGCCACAGGGGAGGGGTGCGTGGCGGCGGGGCGGTCGGCTACGGCAGATGGGGTCGGCGGCGGCGGCGAGGTTGTAGATGGGGAGAGAAGGAGAGCGAGAGAGAGAGAGAGTGGAGAGAAGAGACAGAGGACAAGGGCGTGACGGCCGTTAATGTACCCGCCTCTTTGCTGTCCGCCAACGGTCGGCAAACATTCTTTGCCGTCTACTTGCGGATGGCAAAGAGGTGGGGCCGGTGGGCTTGGGTTGGTTACACAATAACTGGACCCACCAACCTCTTTGCCGTCCGCTAGCGGACGGCATAGTTTCTTTGCCGTCAGCCATCGGACGGCAAAGAGTTGGCTGACGGCAAACACCTTGTTTGCCATCAGCCACTTCTTTGTTGTCCGTTTTCTTTTGGCTAACGACAAATACCTTCTTTGTCATTCGCCAGCGGACGGCAAAGAGATGGCAAACGGCAAATAAGCTAATTCCAGTAGTGTATGATGGCTGTTTTGAGGAAGGTATATGGTGCTTGTATGGTACCGGCGAAAGTTGCGCGGTACTAGAGAGGCTAGCAATGGTGGAAGTGTGAGAGTGCATATAATCCATAGACTAAACATTAGTCATAAAGAACTCACATACTTATTGCAAAAATCTATTAGTTATCGTAATGAAGTACTACATGCATGCTCCTAGGGGGATATATTGGTTGGAAAAGACCATCGCTCGTCCCCGACAGCCACTCATAATGAAGACAATCAAAAAAATAAATCATGCTCCGACATCATCACATAACGGTTCACCATACGTGCATGCGACAGGAATCACAAACTTTAACACATGTATCTCTCAAATTCACAACTACTCACTAGCATGACTCTAATATCATCATCTTCATATCGCAAAACAATCATAAAAAATCAAACTTCTCACAGTGTTCAATGCACTTTATATGAAAGATTTTATTATATCCCTTTTGGATGCCTATAATATTAGGACTAGTTTTATAACCAAAGCAAATTACAATGTTGTTCTAAAAGACTCTCAAAATAATATAAGTGAACCATGAGTGTTCATAAATTTCTATAAAATAAAGCCACCGCCGTGCTCTAAAAAGATATAAGTGAAGTACTAGAGCAATATTTCCTAGCTCAAAAGATATAAGTGAAGCACATAGAGTATTCTAATAAATCACGATTCATGCGTGTCTATCCCAAAAGGTGTGTACAACAAGGATGATTGCAGTAAACGAAAAAGCACAGACTCAAATCATACAAGACGCTCCAAGCAAAACACATATCATGTGGTGAATAAAAATATAGCCTTAAGTAAAGTTACCGATAGATGAAGACGAAAGAGGGGATGCCTTCCGGGGCATCCCCAAGCTTAGGCTTTTGGTTGTCCTTGAAGATTACCTTGGGGTGCCTTGGGCATCCCCAAGATTAGGCTCTTGCCACTCCTTATTCCATAGTCAATCAAATCCTTACCCAAAATTTAAAAACTTCACAACACAAAACTCAACAGGAAATCTCATGAGTTCCGTTAGTATAAGAAAATAAATCACCACTATAATGTATTGTTGCAAACTCATTCTTTATTTATATTTGTATAATATCTACTATGTTCCAACTTCTCCATGGTTCATAGCCCCGATACTACCCATAGATTCATCAAAATAAGCAAACAACACACGAAAAACAAAATCTGTCAAAAACAGAACAGTATGTAGTAATCTGTAACTCTCGAATACTTCTGTAACTCCAAATATCCTAAAAAAATAGAAAACCTGAGCAATTTGTGTACCAATCCAGAGCAAAAAGAATCAAATCAAAAGCACATTTCTGTGAATTATTAAAACTAATTATTTTTACATATGTTACACAATAATTATTTCCTAACAATATTTTTCCAATTTCTCAATGTAAACATACCAGTTGTTGTTGTCTTTTATGTCACTGAATTCAGCTCATACCAATATAACATCATATAGTAATAACCTGCTTTGCTTTCTCACTTCATCTGCAATCACGTTAATATTACTCGGTTCATTATCTCAATATGCTATTTTTTGATGATTCTCTTACAATTTGTTGGCTCTAGTCTTTTGTTTATAACACAACTAAATTTCAATATGTCTAGAGTTTTATTAAATAGAGGGTTAGAATTTCATAACCATTTCAAGTCGGTTTTGTTAACCTCTTTATAATTTGACTGTGTGATCTGTTTGCATTATTTCAGGTGCCTTGTGTCATTGGCTCTTATTAGGGATTTGTACTGTATTGTGCGCCATGAGGTGGAGATCATGATGCAGGTAGCACCTTGTGTGCCTAATATTGTATTTTGATACCAACTTCTCACTAGTTTTGTAATCCATAGATTGGTCATTTAAAGTTTAAGATTGAGAAAAAAGATCAACATTAAATGCTTAATCTTATTCTATTGGTGGTTGGTTTTGGAGTACTTTGATTGAGGTCTCTCAAAGTCTCATCTAGCCATTGAATGTTTATGCCGTAATTTTTTCACCACATTTGGTAGATATATGAGGTAGCTCTTAAAAAGTAGTCGAACATCTTTGTTTCCCCGCTTAAAAGCTTTGGCAAATACCAAATAAGAAACTGACCAATTCGTAACATTGGTGATTAGTGAAACAATGGGACTTGAGCACCATTATGTGCAGTAGACTTGTCGCAATTATATTTTGGAAGGTAAATCTGTTAATCATTGGCTTATTATTCATCTTTTGACGCAGCTGGAGGATCAGATTGCGGCCTGTGGTCCTAAGTAGCGTCAAGTCAAGGCTGTCTGAAGATGTGGCAGTGTTCCCTTACATTATGGTGTGTATGTGTCTCTGAAGATGTGGCAGTGTTCAAAGGGTGTCTGACACTAGAGGGCGTGCGTGAAACAAGACGAGGATTCCCGCCTCGAAACTTCGGTCTTATAACCCTCTAAACAAAACTTGTTCTCCTTTGTCGATGTTTGTTCGTGAAGTCTATATACTTGTGTGGCATGGATCTGCTGCTGCACTGCCCACAGGCTGTGTGTAAACCCCTATTCCTGGTTGGTTGGTTGCTAGTGACTTTCTTTTTCTTATATGTTGTGTTGGCTTCTCTCTCAAAGCAAGTCACGTTGTTGGCTGGTGTACTGAGTGTGCAGCAAATCTCAATAATTGGATATGTTAAGCATCTCTTTTCTGTCTTTAATCTTCAGCGTGACTTGCTAATAAGAGTACGTTGGTGTCGTGGGCGGCAACCGGAAGAGTACGTTGGTGTCGTGGGCGGCAACTGGAGGATGGGCAAGATAAAGGGGATGATTGTGTATTTTAAAAAATGTTCTCAATATTAAGTTCATCAACGTAATGAATGTTGGATTATAAAAACAGTTTTTGTAAAATCTCCTGAATATTCTAATTATAAAAGGAGAAAGGAACCACACAAAAATGTCAATAAAGGAAAAGAAGTAAAATGAAAATGAAAATTAAAAAGAAATGTAAAAAATAAGTAAACAATAAAAGAAACAAATAGATTAAAAATCAAATACCAAACAAAACAAAAAAAATATATAAATAATAAAAACAAAAAAAACCAGAAAACTAGACTGGAAAAATCAGAAATACCAACAAAAGATAAAAACCAGCAGAACCAACTCGTGTCAGCGACAAGAGATAAATTGATTGGGAAGGGTGCATGTTTGCTCACGCTATATCGCCTTACGCGCGGAATAGGGAAGGACATGGACTGGGTGGACTAATGATTTTGATAAATATCTAAGCAAGCAAGAGCCAAAGCTTGTCCTGACCACTTTTTTTGTTATAATTTCCTAAAAAAAAGGTAGAGTTGGCTTTGCTCATCAACCAAACATACCCTAGATGAAGGGCAGGCATGGCAGTAGGAGTCGTTGCCGGGACGGCAAGCATGAATGGCTAGTCAGCTACAGTGGCAACTTAGAGAAATAACCCGGTTAGAAGAGGAACTTCAGTTGAGGAGCTGCCCAAGTGTGTAATGTGCAACTCATGCATGAGGATGGAGGTCATCCGTCCGGGATATGCAAAGAGGATGCCTGAGTTGACTGTAGTCGATCTCATTGCTGAGCTTGGTGTCATCCTGAACGGATGCAACAACCAGCAACAAAAATGGTGATTTGATGCACTCTCTGTATACCAGGCAGTAGCAACACTTTAGAGCACAAGGTAGACACACACTCTGGTGTAGTTCCACAAGAATGTAATCGAAGAGAGAGAGAGAGATAGATAGATAGATAGATAGAGGGAGGGAGAGAGAGAGAGAGAAGAAATTCATGTCACAAACAAACAAACAACTGACCAAATAATCCATGACACACAAGGTACATAGAGTTAGACAGACACAAACATTGACACACATGACAACAAGTGTCTTTCAGAGGGTTACGAGCACGCCCTCCAAACCCAGACACCACTTGAACATCTTTAGCGATACATACACCCCATCATGCTAGGGATCATATGGGGCCATGATCTTTTTGCTTCAATTGCTACTACTGAGGACCCATGGCTGCGATCTGCTGCTCCAGCTGCATCAAAAGAATTTTAGGTTAATGATTACGACCGGTCTACAACGCATTGTGGTGCTCAAGTCACATGGTTTCACAAATTAGTTACAAGTTGGTCCACATCTTACTCCTTTATACTTGTTAAGTTATGATGTGAAACAAAGAAATTCCACTTTGTAGGGCTACCCCATACATCTACTACTAGCAAAAGAGCCCGTGCGTTGCAACGGAAGAAAAAAAATAACAGACACTCTTAACCCAATAACCATAATATGTTCATGCACTTTATTTTAGCGAGGCATCATTTTTATGTTGCCGCTTATCCTCCTTCTCACCTTCAGTGGCCTTAGTGTTCACACAAACCAAAGTGTGTTTGAATATTGTTTTTCCCCTGCCAGTTTTTTCAGAGGTGCTCATGTGTGGTTATCAATGTTTTCTTTTGTCTCTTTATGATTTTAGTGGTTGTTTATTTGCAATCCAGATCGTCGTGGTACGAAAGAAAAACGGACGTTCCCTATAGGTTACAAGTTTGCTTTTAAAATAATATGTTAAAATATTTAATAGGTAAAAATAACATCATATTCAAATTCTACATATTTTTCTATTCAAATTTCATATATAACATGTTAAAATTGGAGTTACGATTTAATAGATATGGATAATTAAGAAAAATATTTGTTTGACTTAAATATCTTCCAGAATAATATTTAAAAAATATTTAACAAACAAAATAACATCATATTCAGATTCTACACATTTTTCTAATCAATTTTTATATATAACATGTTAAAATCGGAGTTACGGTTTAAAAGATATGAATAATTTAGAAAAACATTTGTTTGACTTATATATGATCGGCGGGTGAATTATCTAATACGTCAGGGGGGTTTCCGTAAAAATGTAAAATAACGGTTCGGTTATGACTTAAGTGTGTACTGCGGGTTAATTCATGAAAAATGCAGGGGGTTTTCTGCAAAAGTGTGTGACGGACGGCGGAAACCCAATTTGCTTTATTATTAGGTAGAGAAAAGAGACGAAAAAATTAAGGCATGATAATTTGAAATACCTCGACTTATTAATTGTTTCAGAAAACCCAAAAGTATATTTAGATAAATTTTAACACCAAACAAGAATAAGATTCAAGTTATTCATTTTGATCATCAACGATATAAGAGCAATCTATGGATTATCATACTAGTGAGAAATCGGAAGTCAAAAGCCAACATAGCTAGGCACATAAGGTGCTACCTGAATCATTGTTTGTAGCTTGTTGCGCACATCATAAAACTCATTCCTAATAAGGTCCAATGACATGAGGCACCTGGAATAATGCAAACATACACATTATCAAATTCTGGAGAGGTCAAGCAAACTGAACGGAAACGGTTCAGAAATTTTGATCCTGTATTTGAAAAATAAAAGCTTTTACCATCTCAGTTGTGCTAGAAATAGAGGTCAAGCCCACAAGTTACAAGAGGATCATCAAACATTAGCACATTCGGATAATGAACCAAATTGTACCAATCATGTGATTGCAGATCAAGTGAAAAGAATACTACTAGGTTGGTTTGAGCTAAATATTCAACTCGCAGGTTTATATGCAAAATTTAAAAAATACATAGAGTGGAGAATAATTAATGTGCAAAAAATATAATAGGACACTGTGTACTAACCCTTCTTTACTTTGTGCCTCATAAAACTGACGGAAGTGGGTGCAGGAGAGATTCACTTTCTTAGCACCAACACTGAAAACATACCAAGAAGCACCAATCAGGGAACTAGAATTTCTCAAACTTATTAAATGCTGCAGCATGTTGATACACATAAGCATACTTCCAATGTCACAATAGTATCCACAAGGTGTCATTTCTTATCATGGTTGTCAACACAATAGATTGTTCGATAAACAAGAAAATAAATTGGTTGATGTGCAATAGCAGATTAGTAGTATTGGAAATATTTACAGAACCAACAAATTTTTTCTTGCAGAGTCATAACGTTGGCATGCACGAAAGACAACTAAAGTTGGACCTTTTAATTATGGCTATACGACAGCGCAAATTAGACAAGCACATGCTCATGACGTACACACCCCACGCCGACACGTCCAGAAGCCAGAAAATGAACATTGGCATTATATAGAATATAATGTAATCAAATACTAGAAATTTTTTTGGAACCACAAATTTCTCATTCCTAACCTAGAATAATGCCATTGGTTGAAATGCAGATTCAACAATACTAAATTTGTTTGCAACGGCAAAGTTCTCCTGGCTGAGCTATAACATTTCCATTATATTGGCATGAACACAGACAACTCTGTTATGCAAAACACAACTAAATTCAGCCCTTCTACATATGGTTATAAGACAGCCACACACAACACGATCCGTGTCTGCGCCATCACATCTAAACAGAAAAAAACATTGATTTCGTGGACAGACCAAAAAAACACGGTCGGCATCACGTACATTAATACCCGAAATGTTCGCAAAACGATAGTTTTTTCCTTGCCGAGCTAGAGTATTGCCACTGGGCAATAATACCGGTGATTCTGTTACAGAAAACACAACTGAACCGAACTTATCCAAATATGGTTACACAACAGGCGCAAACAACATGAATAACATCAATACTGCTGACATTCGAGAAAAACTGCCATCAGCGTTACGCTGAATATATAGCAAATCATTAAATATATACCAGAAACATTCGCAAGACGACAGACTTATCGTCGCCGACCCATAACATTGCCGTTGGCATGGGTACCGGCACTTCCATTGCACGAAACACAACTAAATTCGACTATTCTACTTATGACTATATATACGACAACACAAACGACACAAACAGCTGCATGCGGATTACAAACCCATTTGAATTGCACGACGTTGAGAGTTAAAAATGGGCTGGGGAAACAAAGGTTTATCATGGTCATCACCTGCCGTTGCACCCCTTGAGCTGATGCACCAGTGCACCCACGCTGTCGAAGTTCACCACGGGCTGGTTCCTGCGAATCATATCACAAGTTAAGGAGAGCACATGAAATCAATGCCACCCAACACGAGATAACAACAGCAGAGGGGGAGGGACGGCGGTACGGACAGCCGGAAGGCAACTTCGTTGAGGATGTTGTCGGCGTCGTGAAGGAAGAGGTTGACGACCTCGACGAGGAAGCCCTCCTGCTCCACCGACCGCAGGTGTTGGAAAGCCTCGTCCACAATACCCTGTATGATCATACAAGAAGAAAAATTAGGCAGCCAGCCAAAACCGGCAATCCGCAGTGATGCCAGACCACAAGCACACGGCGATTAAAATGGTTGGTGAGGGAAGGGGACTCACCGTGGCAAACATGGAGTCGAGGAGGGCGTTGAGCTGGCCCCTGAGCGCGGCGGCCGCCATGGCAAGCAGTTCCGGGAGTCCGGAGACGCGGGCGGAGGGGGCGATCCGGGGGTAGGGGCGGCGGAGTGGACGAGGAGAGGGGAGAGAAGGGCAGGTTATATAGCGGACTCACGAGTCTCTCTCTAACGCGGAGGCGTTTTGGCAGTCATTAATGAGCTTCGGGACGGCCTGCGCGCATGCATGCATGTAACTACCGCTGGATGGATTGATACCGCGTGCATTCATGAGCTAGCTGTTGCACGCTCTCTACAGCAAAGTACCAGCATACGTACAGTTGTTGTTTCCAAAACATCAATGGTATTTTGCTGCTAAAAAAAGAGGAAAACAGCAATTGTATTCTTATTACATAGTATCGCTTTTATAGAAAATCTTGAGCACTACTTATTGCAGTTTTTTTTATGAGGGAGCGGGAGGGATTTTGGTTATTGCAGTTTCATGATGGTAGTTATTCCCACGTTCTGACTTTGGTTTAGGCCCTGAATAAACCGATGGAGGGAGTAGAGTAGGTGGTTATTCTACCTCACACATTTCGAAAAGTTTTTTTTGTTAAAACTTGTACTATGTCACCCGCAAAAAATAAAAAACTTGTACTATGTAAAATAAGATCTCTGATTTGAGAAATAAGTACTTTGTGCCACAAGCTTCACTACATTGTCGACCGCGGCAATGCTAACCCCTGCGCTGAGTTCGCGTTCTTGTATGATAGTAGGTATGGCACGGCGTATTAGAAGGGAAAGGACCCGGTTTGTCTTTCTTTATTTCTTTGTTTTTTGTTTGTTTCTTCTCCGGTTTTCATTTTTTTCTCTGGGTATTTTCATTTGTTTCTTTTTTTTTCATTTCATTTTTCCTTTGGTTTATTTTGTTTCCTTTTTGGTTTTCATTTTTTTTCTTTGTTTTTTTTTTCACTTTACATTCTCATATACACGATCAACATTTTTTCAAATACTTGTTCCAGATATTTTCAAACACTTGTTCAACATTTTTCAAATATTTGCTCAACATTTTTATATACATGATCAACATTTTATCAAATACTTGTTTAACATTTTTATATACACGATCAACATTTTTTCAAATACTTGTTCAACATTTACAAATACTTGTTCAACATTTTAAAACACTTGTTTAACATTTTTCCAATAGGTATTGAACATTTTTCATACTTATTCAACATTTTCAAATACTTGTTCAACATTTTTAATAGGCATTCAACATTTTTCAAACACATTTTCAACATTTTAATACTTATTCAATTATTTCAAATAATTGTTCAACATTTTTCAAATTATTTTTCAACATTTTTAATAGGTATTCAACATTTTACAAATACATTTTCAACATTTTTAATACTTATTCAACATTTACAAATACTTGTTCAACATTTTCAAATTCTTGTTCAATATTTCTAAATACTTATTCAATATTTTTCAAATACTTGTTCGATATTTTTCAAATGTCTTTATAGAGTGTTTTTTTCTAATATATATTTAGGATATTTTAAAGTATAAACAAAAGTAAACAAAAAAGGAAAAAAGGAAAAAAGAAAAATAGAAAACATGAAAAAACTCCAGAAAAAGGAGGCTGGAGCTTCCTCATGCAGCCGAGCCGTGGCCCATGTAGAGCTCCCTTAATGCGAGAGGCTGCCCTCTGTCTCGTTAACAGGGAGGCATAGGTGCACCCCCTTGGAGAGATTGTCTATCAACATCATGGTGCAGATTGTTTGGACCTGGTGTAATGCCCCTTAGCCCAAGACATCGTGGAAGTCAAGGTATCCTAGGACGTAGCTGACTGCAGGTGGTCTGACTTCTCCTGTCATCATGGTGATCGACTGTTGGGTCATGTCCATCAAGGGGTTCAGGATCGGACAATGGACACTTGGTTTAGGCCCTTATTACTGCAAGGATTACATCCACGACAGTTGGCACCCACCTTGGAAAGAGCGTCTATCGACATCATGGTCAAGATGGTTTCTTTGTCAACTTTTTCTGGCAGCATCTGTTTAAGTGTCCTCGAGTTCACTGTCGACGGTTCAGCATGGCATCCCGATGCTCCGTTGAATTATGTACTTGTCGGCGTGAGTATCCATTACTGGGCCAATGGCCTGAGCATTTTGAGCCTTCAGATCTCGGTTTTGCATCACCCAGTTGGTTTGGTGCGACGACGCCGTAGAAAGCATTAGGGTAAGCCTCGCCCACAGTTTCGTCATTCTGCTGGAGTCCAACTTCAGGGAGGAAGATAGTTGGGGGACTTAGAGTCCAATGTCAAAAGTTTTCATGGTTGGACACCCCCCGGTCTAGCCTTCGACGGGGTGCACCAGTTAATTCATCTGCCGCAACCAGCAATGCTATAGCGGATGACAGATGACATCTCGCTCAGGAGGACTGGGAGCTGTAGAGCAGCTCCTCAATACCCCAATCTCGGAGGATTTGCCAGCTGACAAAGTCTTAGAGGTGGCACGCCATTCCACTATGGCCGAGCATGGTCGTCTCGCGCAAATAGAGCACAACCTCATCATGCGAGATCAAGCGTTGGCGAACAACAATCAACAACATTATCAGTCATCTCGGTCTGTAGCTTGATGCGGGAAAGATATCACCAACAACTTTTTAGACGAAGGCCCAGGCGACTCCTGAGTTGTTTGCACCCTAAATGAAAATGTCTTTGCTATGACTAGACTGGAAAACGTAATCCAACAACCGAGAGATGGAGTCATCACTGACAGCATCCGTCAGCTGTTGAATTTCTTGAAGGTCACTGTCATGTAGAACAACATGATTCGCGAATGTCTGGCTTCTTGCAGCAGAGTGCATGTGGGAACCAACAACCGAGTGCTGAAAATAGCCTCTTCACACCGACGACAGTCGGCCGATTGCAAAGCATAAAGTCGTGTCGGGGCTATGCATGAGCTATTGGCATGTCGCCAAGAGGACCCTCCTCGGTGGTGTGATGACCCTTCTCCACGGTGCTGAGTGGATTCTCCTCGACAGCGTGATGACATCTCACCACGGAGCCGTAGAGATGTCCACGTGGCCGAGACGATTACTCGCCACGAAGATAGAGTACTCATCCTCATCCTCATCCTCATCGGCGTGATGATTCTCCACGCCGTCAGCATGCTTATCCCGAAGGTCGTGATGTTTCGCGTCCCAGTTGGGAGTTCACCCACACAGTGGGATGCCCAGCTACACAGACGAGATGATCAACCTCATAGGCAATGACTGATACATCCATTTTGCATCATGTTTTCGTACTGTTATTTATATTTTTTATGCATAATAATGTTTTTGGAGTATTTATAATGCCTTTTCTCTCATAATATGCAAGGTTTACACAAACAGGGAGAAAACCGGCAGCTGGAATTCTGGATCTAAAAAAAGCATGTTAGAGCTACCTATTCTGCACATCTCCAAATAAGATGAAACTTCCGGGAGAATTTTTATGGAATATTTAAGAATTATTGGAACCAATAACTACCAGAGGGGACCGACCAGGTGGGCCCAACCAACCTGGGTGCGCCAGGGACCCCAGGTGCGCCCTGGTGGGTTGTGCCCTCCTTGGCCCACCTCCGGTGCCCCTCTTTTGGTATATAAGACATTTTGACCTAGAAAAAAAATAAGGAGACGCCTTTCGGGACGAAGCGCCGCCGTCTCGAGGCAGAACTTGGCAGGAGCACTTTTGCCCTCCGGCGGAGCGATTCCACATGGGGAACTTCTCTTCCGGAGGGGGAAATCATTGTCATTGTCATCACCAACAACTCTCCCATATTTGGGAGGGCCATCTCCATCAACATCTTCAACAGCACCATCTCCTCTCAAACCCTAGTTCATCTCTTAAGTTCAATCTTTGTACAGTAACCTTAGATTGGTGCTTGCGGGTGACTAGTAGTGTTGATTACATCTTGTAGTTGATTACTATATGGTTTATTTGGTGGAAGATTATATGTTCAAATCCATTATGCTATTTAATACCCCTCTGATCTTGAGCATGATTATCATTTGTGAGTAGTCACTTTTGTTCTTGAGGTCACGGGAGAAGTCATGTTGCAAGTAATCATGGGAACTTGATATGTGTTCATTATTTTGATGATATGTATGTTGTGATTCCCTTAGTGGTGTCATGTGAACCTCGACTACATGACACTTCACCATATTTGGGCCTAAGGGAATGCATTGTGGAGTGGTTATTAGATGATGGGTTGCTAGTGTGACAGAAGCTTAAACCCTAGTTAATGCGCTACTACGTAAGGGACCGATTTTAATCCAAAAATTTAATTCTATGGTTAGATTTTATCTTAATACTTTTCTCGTAGTTGCGAATGCTTGCGAGGGGGTTAATCATAAGTAGGAGCTTTGTTCAAGTAAGAACAACACCTAAGCACCGATCCACCCACATATCAAATTATCAAAGTAGCGAAGACGAATCAAGCCAACATGACGAAAGTGATATGATGAAATTCTCGTGTACCCTCAAGAACTATTTTCTTATTATAAGAGACCATTTTGGCATGTCCTTTGCCTCAAAAAGTATTGGGATACCTTCATGCACTTTAGTTACCGTCGTTGTTATTTACTTGTTACAAATTATCTTGCTATCAAACTATCTGTTACCGACAATTTCAGTGCTTGCAGACATTACCTTGCTGAAAAGGATTTGTCATTTCCTTCTTCTCCTCTTTGGGTTCGACACCCTTACTTATCGAAAGGACTACGATTGATCCCCTATACTTCTGTGTTATGAAGGCTATTTTATGGCGCCGTTGTCGGGGAGTGAAGCGCTCTTGGTAAGTGGCATTTGGTAAGGAAAAAATTATATAGTGCGCTGAAATTTATTGTACTTGCTACTATGGAGAACCATTCTTTGAGGGGTTTGTTCGGGGTATCTTCACCTCGACCGGAACCACAATTAATTGCCACTCAACCTACTGCACCTATTGAAAATATTGGTTATGAAATTCCTTTGGGTATGATAGAACAACCGCTAGATAATCCTTATGCAAGAGA